GCTTTTACGATTTTTATAAAATCTTTCTTCTTCCACGAGTTCTGTGTAGAAACAGAAAATTAATTTCGTAAAAACAAAAGTTTTATTACTTCTCTTTGTTCTGTATTATTCTCTCTTCTTCTACTTGATCGTGTGTTCAGAAACCAACTTCATCTCATCATTTCTATCTTCTCTCTACCATTTTTCCTTCTTTATTAAATTTATTTGATTTTTTTTGTATCAATAGTGAAACTAAAAAGTAAAACAACAACCGAAAAAAATGATGAAAATGAAAACTGGATCAACCGTGACCACTGCCGGCGACGGCGAGGGTGGATTGGAGGTCCGACCTGGAGGAATGGTTGTACAAAGAAGAACAGATCATAACTCAAACGTGACACGTGTCATTCGGATCCGGGTCAAATACGGGTCGGTCCAACACGAGATCAGTATCAACTCTCAATCTTCTTTCGGTAAGCAAAAAAACTCTGTTTTTTCTTATGCTCTGTTTTCTTCTTTTTGGGTCTTGAACTTTTTGATTGTTGTGTTGAACAGGGGAATTGAAGAAGATATTGTCAGGTGAGACAGGAGTTCATCATCAAGACATGAAGATTCTATACAAAGACAAAGAAAGAGATTCAAACATGTTTCTTGATCTTTCTGGTGTTAAAGATGGTTCTAAACTCATTCTTAAAGAAGATCCGGTTTCTCGGGAGAAACGTTTACTGGAAATGAGGAAAATCGCAGTCAAAGAGAAAGCGCTTAAAACAATCTCCGACATTACTTTTCAAGTCGATAGACTCGCCGGAAAAGTAACAGAATAAACAGAAATTGAATATTTTCTCTAAGTCATTAATTAATTAACACTCTTGTCTCGTAAGTTGAAGTTAAAACTTTTTTTTTTATTGTGTGTGTTTTGGATTTTAGTTGTCGGCGTTTGATTCAGTGATTGGTAAAGGAGGGAAAGTTGAAGAGAAGAATTTGGAGGATTTGATGGAGATTTTGATGAGTCATTTGGTGAAGCTTGATGAAATTTCAGGAGATGGAGAAGTTAAATTGAAGAAGATGATTCAGGTATACTCAGATTACATTAATAGTTCCAATTGGTAACAAAATCACTCATTAAAAAAAAAAAATTAGGTTTTGATCAAATACATACCAATGATAGAGTTAATGACAAATATAACTGCGAATTTTCGCTATTTTTGCAGTTAAATTTAAATATCTTGTGAATGTGAATCAATGAATTAGATTTTGTTACTTAAGATTCTAATGTATTTTCTTATGATACGATTAAAAATGTTGGAAGGAGGAAAGATTAAAGAAGCACGTTGAGGCACTCGACGTGTTAAAGATCAAGAACTC